AACCTTCCTTCCGAGGAGTGGCTGGTGGGTTTGAACTGCCAGCCTTCTGGTTAGCAGTCAAGTGCCTTAGCCACTACGCTACCAGAGCTCCCTACCCTCTTAATTAGGAGGATTAAATGAGATGTTTCATATGCAGTGCTTAGCAGAAAGTCTGGCACATAATAAATGGTTAAGCTTTACTGTGGGCACTGAGGCAGTCAAACTGAGATAACCACACTTTTTTTAGTAATTTTTTTTCCTGTTGCTTTATGAGGTTAGAGTACTTCTAAATGAAGCTATTCCCTCAACAATGAGACCTGTTAGTTCTGGAAATTGCCACAATACATCCAGGGTTTTTAGCTGATTCCACAGGACTGTTGCCTTTTGTATAGTTAAAGCAAATCTGATTTGCTGGTGGTAAAGGAGCTCTGGTGGTGTAGTGGATAGGGGACGCTAAGTGGAAGGTCAGCAGTTCAAACCCACCAGCTGCCCCGCAGAAGGAAGACAGGGCAATCTGCTTCTGTAAAGATTTACAGCCTTGGAAACCCAGTGGGGGTTGTTATGAGCCAGAAACGACTCAATGGCAGTAAGTTTGGTTTTTGTTTGGTCATCTAAGCATGCCTCTCCCTGCCCCACACACACAGACACACACATACATACACACAACCATATTTGTGAGGTGTTGGGAACAGCATGGCTTGGAGTCACACTGTGTCCCCAATGTCATTTCTCATCTCCCTGACACACCGTATCTCTGGCCACCTCTGTGGTGTCATATAAGGTCTTCTAAAAGGTCCTTCCTGCCTGGCCCTCTTCCAGATAATTATTTGTATGTTGCCCTCACCATTTGCCCTAAATCTCATCATCATCCTCTTCCCTTTAGATTGTACAACAGAATTAGTGACCATTGTCCCTGAAAGGTCACTATAAACACACACCAAACCAAAAACCAAACTCACTGCCATCAAGTCAGAGCCAACTCATAGCGACCCCTCCTTGAGTTTCCCAGGCAGTATCTTTATGGAAGCAGATTGCCCAATCTTCCTTCTGAGGAGTGGCTGGTGGGTTTGAACTGCTAGCCTTCTGGTTAGCTGTCAGATGCCTTAGGTACTTTGCCACCAGCTCCTATAAACACACACATGCACGAAGTGTCTATTACCTTGAGGAAGTTATGGAAAAGGAGGAGATATTTAAATGCCCAGACTTTAAATCTGAAGAGATAAGATGGATAAGTTAGGTGCAGTGGAATGGAGAGGGGAAAAGTAGGGGGATTAAGTCTAAAGTATGCATGTGGTCAGTATATTGTCTTTTGAATATAAATGTACTTAAAATTGGAAAGTTCAGACATGTTGCGTTTATTGCTTCTGTTTACTTAAAGTAGATTCAAGAGCATTATACAGCCTAAGAAGTTAGGTACCCATCCTGTGGGATGATTTATGTATAACATATTTCTTGCCTATTCCTCTTAATTTTTTCCCAAAAAGAAAGAAAAAAATCTTTTCAACTAGTGGGCCAGCAACCTGAAACATAGGAATGATCTTTTCCTGTTTTTAGGCAACATTTAAATTTCTCTCTAGATAATTCCAGGCGTTTATCCCTTCAATTAGAAATCAAGCTGTGAAACCAAATTATTGTGGCATGTATATATTCATTGGCTGGATGTGTTTTTTGTCACAAATGGCAGCCAAATGTGGCCCACAGGTAGTTTTCCGAAAAGATGAAGGTTTCTCAAGAGAATTACCAGCCAACTAAATTTCTAATGCTGCTTAACACCATTGTATCATATTCCGTTATTCCTCACTTGAGTCTGAGACCAGTTATTAATCGATATCCAGTTATTAATCGACTGTTGATTAGCCAGCAAGTTATCCTCTTACTACACTGGATACCACACTTTTAGATAAACATGAATAAACCAGAGCATTTTGAAAGAGTTAGGAAGGAGTTGAAATTAGGTTTGGAATATAATTAAAATGAAGTAGTGTTTGAATGGGAGCTCTGGTAGCATAGTGG